TGTGACTGGCTGAGGGATCGTCGCTCTAGCCAGATTCTCGAATCGCAGCACGAACTGTGCGACCAATCCATAAGCCTCTTTACATCAATTATTTCTCAAGTCTTTTGCGATTGGCATCTAATTGTGAATGCACAAATCGATTCGAAGTACTTATTATTGTAATGATTGTTTCGTCTATTGTGCGGAGTACATCTGGGAGGGGAAACGGCAACAGCAGATGCTTAAATAGATCTACCCTATCACACCATTGCCAGGTCTCATAAGAATTTACAAAAATTCAGCATTCTCTCTTTTTTTTTTGTAATTTAATTATCTACCTTCACAAGTTTGAGCATTTTGTCTTTTACCGTATTTCGTTTGCGTTTTTTAATTGCGTCGGCATTCCTTTTTAGCGCAAGGCAACATGCTTTGGGCAGGAGCTAATTGTTTTTATTGGCCCAAAGGCTTGCCGCATTCGAGCAATGCCTTTAAGGGGCCACAACTGTCATGTCGTTAGGCCGTTCCAACATCTCGGCCAACATCTCGTTTAAGCGCGGCCCACCAAAAAATCATAATATTAAAAGAATCTGCAAATGACGCGCAAATGTTTCAACACTCTTTGACAAGCTCTTCGGGCTGCCAGCCAACCAGCCAAGCAGCCAAGGAGCCAACCAGCAGACCAACAGACCAGCAGCCAAGGAGCCGACTCAGGCCATCCAGCCAGCCGCAAAGAACGAAAAATGTAATAATAATAAAAAAGAAAATTATTGCACATCACATTCACAGTCATCGGACAGTGCCATCTTTTGCCTCAAGCCTTCCACGTCGACGTCGACGTCCAGGTCCGGGTCTGCGTCCGCATTCACGTCCACGTCCACGTTTAGGTTCAGATCCAGGTCCTCATCATCATCGAGCGCGTCTCCTATGCAGGCGGCATTAAAGATCGCGTTATGAAAATGCAACGCGCATTGCACAAAGCCCAAAGATCGCAGTTCGAGAGAGTGAGAGAGAGAGGGAGCGGGAGCCCGAGAGGGAGGCAAATGAAGAGACGAGCAGAGTCCAATGGCTGCTCGTTCTAACTAGAAGGTGATATAAGTGGTTCGATTGTTGCCGCCGCCATCGCACAGTGCAACAAGAGTGCGAATAATCAAATTAAATAAGTTTAAATTTAAAAGAAATTAATAAACCTGAATGAGCAAATTCAATTATAAATATTAAATATTTTAAATCAGTTTATGCATAAATATTTTAAACTTTTTAAGCGTATTAATACTAAATTATAGCTATTTATATTTAATTTTTATATATAAATATTTTCATGCGCATTATCAATCAAATTACATTATATATATTTTATAATTTAATAAAATTTATTTTAAAATACTTAAAATTTTCTATAGCATTAGCATTCAAATTAATTTATTCATATTTAATCAAATTCCATTTAACAATATATTATAATAGACATAATAAAAATTATTTCATTATTATTAAAAAATCTTTTTTTAATTTATATGTAATTTTTAAACGCATTTATACCCAATTATAAAATTAAATATAAGTTATAAAAAGTGTTTAAATTAAAATGAAGCTGTAATATGTTAATTCAGTTTATATTAAAAAATATGTTAAGAACATTAATATTTGATTTAAATTATTTTTTTTTTAATTTTAATACAAGTTAATTTAATATATATTTATATATACACAAATAATTTCACCTGGTGACAATCGCATTTGGCACCCCTGTGGCGCTTGCAGCGGTCTTGCAGTCGGAACTGAAGTCAGCGGCGCGTTAGCGCTAATAAGCAATTGCCAAATTACATTCGCGTGAGTAATCTCGCGCCCCGATGCAGGTCTCCCCTGGCAGCTCTGCGACCTCGCTGCCCGCGGTCCGTTCTCCGCTGCCCGCCCCTTTTTCTACTGCTTGTGCAGCTGAGGCAGTGGGCGTAGCTTTTGAGCGCACCGCAAGCGCAGATACTTAAGTTGGCCATTGCCCATGCCACTCAGTCACTCAGTCGCTCAGTCAGTCCGTCAGTCGCTCACTCACTCACTCATTCATGCCATCATTTATATCAAGGGGCAGCAGCAATACCCCTTCCCTCCCCCTCCCACTAATGCAATGTGCGCGCCTTGAAGCCTGTAATTTCGTTTTTTCTCTCGCTCTCTGTGGTGTCTTCTCTTTACCTGCTGCTTCTTCGCTTAGCTTTGCTCTTGTTGTTGTTGCTGCTGCCGTTGCATTTGCAGTTAGTTAGCGCTGCGCCGATCGCCATTGCTGCTGCTGCTGTCCCTCTCTTACCCATGGACAGCGCGCTGACTTTTGCTGTTTGTCTCTCTTCTTGGTTTTTGGGCTCGGGAATGTCTTCCCTTTAACACATTTTGGCATGCAATTTGCTGAAATTAACTTCAATTGTAATTTGTGCTGTTCTTGCTGTTGTTGTTGCTGTTGCTGTTGCTGTTCTTCTTATTGCTGTTGTTGCTGGCATTGTTTCATTGGGTTATCAGTGCCCCATCTTTAATAGTATTGCTTTTGTTGTACTTTTCGCCGCAACTGACATGTGCATGTGGGGGTACATGGATTAGAGTGCCAACTCGTGGTTCGAGGCTGTTTATAATTTGATTGGTGGGTTCGCTCTGAAATGATGCCCGCCGGTCTACGTTAACTGTAAATGACAACTGCAACTGTAAAGACTTGGCAATAGCCAATGGGAACGAGTGCGAATGCACTCGATATGAGTTCGAGCGAAATACTAATTGGATTGCATTTTGCATATTCATTAGGCTTTCGATTGTTAGGCTGGACTGTTCACACTTCAGTTATACTTTTATAGTGAGTAAAAGAGAGGACAAGCATCTCTACTTTAGTTTATCTATTTCATTATTGGAAGTTTAAGTTTAAAGTTTTAAATAATAGTAAATAATTTAAAGCTGATGAGTTGTTGGACAATTATCAATTAATTTTATTTAATTTAAATAGCGACAGTTTTCATTATATAATTTTTAAATCAATCTTATTGTAGCTTAATTCTATTCTCTAATCAATAAATAAATTCAAGTAAATTAATTTTATTTTATTATAATAATTGTATAAATTCAAAAGCTTCTAGTACGCCATAACATACCTGATTAACTTATAAAAGATTTTATTGAATTTAAATAATAATAACTAGAATCTAAAACTTAAAATATTAAACAATTAGTGATGATAAATTGTAAGGCAATTGTAAATTTTGTTTCTATCAATATAATATTTTAAGGTGAAAAACATTAAAATGTAAAAGTAAAAAAGTAAGAGAATATTACTTACATATACTCATATACTTCAGTTTGAAATAAAACTAATAAAATAATAATTTTAAATTTATTTATTATTATAAATTTATTAATTTTGTATTGTATATATATTTTATAAAATCACATTTTTTTTTTAAATGTGTTTCTTAGTTTCTCTCCCTGTTACTGATTTATTCTTATTCTTATTATATTTTTTCAAGCGCATTTTTCTTTGGAATAACTCTTTGTATACTTCTGAGTAAATTCTGCGTCTTCTTCTTCTAATTTCTTGAATATTGTGCTAATGTCCAAGTGTTATGATTGACAAAGCGCTATCTCTTACAGCACATCTAGATCCGCTCTCAGCTTACAGCTCTGCTCGACTACATAAATTGCACTCGATGACATTTGAGTGGATGCATTTCTAGCACTCAGCGAGAGCTGCGCTCTGGCCCATCATTAACTCGAGCAGTCAGTCAGCGAGTCAGCCAGTCAGCGAGTCAGCCAGTCAGCGAGTCAGCCAGTTAGTCGGTCTGTCATACTCGTGCACTGGCCCCGGTCAGTCCATTGCCGTCTTGACTGACATGGCCATGGCCAACGCCAGCTCCAACAGCAACTGCAACTGCAACTGCATTGGGGGCCGCAGCCGTTGCGCATGCGCGTCAAGAGCAGCCACCATTCAACGCGCTTAGCAGACACCGCTGAGAAGCAGACATGCGGCCAAAGCCCAAGTCAGAGCCAGAGTCGGAGTCGGAGTCGGAGTCGGAGTCCGAGTCGAGGCTCCTTGAAATGCATTGGTAGACGTCAGCGGCGTCGTTTTGGTGCAAAATGTTTGCGGCGAAACCTGCAATTACCATCGCCAGCTTTGATAGCCGCCTAGTGCTGGGGCTGTCTGTCTGGCTGTCTCTCAGCCAGGCCAGGCCTGACTGCCTGCATGCGCCCTGTTTAGGTTTTTAGGCATTTAGTCTTTGTTTCGACAGCAATCCCTGGCAGTCTGGTAGCGCAGCAGTTGATATGTTGTTGAGTACTTTTAATTTGCATGCTGTTAATGGTGTTGCTTCATATTAGGCAAGAGCCGGGCCAGAGTCGAGGCCAGAAGCCAGCCACAGAAGGCAATCAATGCAGTTGTTGTTGCTGTTGCTGTTGCTGTTGTCCTCAGGATGTTAAAGCCATTGAACTGCGGAACGTCTTCGAGTCGGTCTCGGTCTGGTCTTGGTCTTAGTCTCTTGCCTTTGGGGGGCTGAGCTGGCATATTAATGGCAGGATTGAAATCAAACGTTGCCTGGAATGCTGCACAGACGCCAAAATAGACGTAATGGACCAAAATTGTTCTGCGATTGGGCCTGTTGTAATAGGTATAAATGCTGATCGCTTATGACGTAAATGGCATAAATATTAGCTGCGAACTAGAGAACATGCATATTGGGGGCATTCCCATCTCGCTTATAAATGATGTGCGCAAATTTGCATGCGAAAAGAAATTATGAAGAGCTGCAGCTGAACATGGGAAATGAAATACGAAATATATATACATTAAATTAACTAATTGAATAAAGTGTGTGCTGAGCATCCAGAGAATACAAAATTCCAGTAATTGCACACACAGAGACAGAGAGAGAGAGAGAGAGACAGTGTAATAGACAAAAGTGAATCATGTGGGTCCAAACATGACTCGCCTCTAGTTGTGTGCATTGTAAGTAAATGCGCAGAAGTAACTCAAATAGAGCAGCGAGACTGGGCGAGGGCAGAGCTCTGTTGTGGCTGGCATTACCTGCCGCCTGTTTGTCTTTTGGCTGTAACAGCTACCGCACAATTTCCCAAATGACAAACATGCCAAAACGGTTAGGGCCCATAGACACACAGACAATGGCAACAAAGGCTGCCTGCAGAAGGCGAAGGACAAGCTGAGAAACAGGAGCTGCACCAGCCAGCCAGCCGAGCAGCAGACAGCAGGCAGCCAAGCAGGAGGCAGCAGCCAAGCAGGAGTAGCACATTAATCACAATGCTCCAAAAGAGCTTGACAGCTAGCTACATGGAAACCTCTCCCTGGGTGTCTCAAGACAGTCTCTCTCTCTCTCGCTCTCTCTCTTTCTGTGTGTGTGTGTGTGGCATCCTTTGGCATAATTCTTATTCAATCGCTAAGGACAATGCCATGTTGTAGTTTCAATTTGCGGTGGGCATGAGATTTGTGCCAAGACAATTGCCAAACAGGAAGCCAACGACTCCCGACGTCGACTCTGGACTCTGAATCCGAATCCGGCGGCCATCAATTTAAAAAATGAAAAATTTCCCTTTTTGCTTTTGCCGGCGTCCGGAAAATGGAAAATTAAATTAACCTTTGGGAGCTGTTGCTGCTGCTGCTGTTGCTGTTGCCGTTGCTGCCAAACAATGTTGCTGTCTGCGATGCTCCCGATAGCATCTACTGCCGAAATATGTTAATTTTCAATTTAGTAGTTTGGCCTCTGTCTTCCAATACACACACACACACACACACAGACATACATATGTGTATCTATCTCCCTGCTTATATATGTATATTTGGCTAGTTCTTAATTCGCTTTTCTTTTGAGAGTTTTCGGCCTGGCTTTATGAAGCGCAGCAGAGCGCAACGGTAATGGGTACCAGAGAGAAAACCCATTATCACATATAGCTAATCTGCTGCATATCATTTCGTATTCGGCAGAGGAAGTGTTTGCTTGTTAGTTGTCGAGTTCATAAACAATTTGTTGACCACATTTCGGTCGTTGAGGAAATAATTAAGACATTATAAATTATTTGAGGCCTCTCGAGTGTTGATTGTTAACTTGCGGTCTTTGCGTTTTTACTTACTTATCTATAAGACATCTCTCTCTCTCTCTCTCTCTCTCTCTGTCTCTTTCCCTCTCTGTCTATCATTCTGACTGCATTGTTGCCCCCTAATGAGCATAACAAAATATTTTCGTTTATTTTGTAGATATGTATCTCTGGGCCAGTTTTCAACAAATACGTATTTAGTTTGATTTATGTATTCGGCCTGCCCAGCGTCATATATTTAGCATATTAAAACAAATGTAATGAAATACATCTAGAGAATGCCCCTCAACAATGTATAAATGAGCAAATGTGATGCAAGCATTAGATAAGTAGAAGCAGCAGAAGGTCATTGAGAAGGTCAGATCTTTGACAATCTATGTTAGATTATTAGGCCTGATGTAAAATTAATATTTAGAATATATATTAGCAGACTGAATCATTGTAAATTATGTTTAGATGATAACAAATAATTGTAATATAAAATGGATATTTACAAAACAAATCAGTAGATTGTTCAGAGAACTAAAAATAAAATGTATTGAATCCATTACATAAATATATATATTTTTATATTAGTATATATTTCAATAGAGTGATTAAAATAAATGAATTAATTTATACACCAAAATTTGTATTTGTATTTTAATACTAAACTTATATTGTAAAAATGAATTATTTTTAGTTCAGCTTATAAAAATGTGATGTATATTAATACAGTACTTATAAAATATGTTATACATTTATATATCTTTTTTTAAATTTCCTTTCTTTTTTATTTCAATTTAATATACGTATATTAATAGTTTTTTTTTATATTTAAAATGCCTTGATTTTGTGCTTTAAACTGTGTAAACAAGGTATATTAAAATTCTAGTAAAAAGTAATTTGAAATATATATATTTAGCTCAAACTCTTTGAGAAAATGTCGAGTATTTATTTTGAAACCTTCGGTTCATTCAGTACAAAGAATGATCCAATCTAGTTTGATAACTAATATTGCAGTAGAGCAAAAAATATAAATTCTAATGCAATTTTCGACCCCAGGGGTCCCAGAGTACCTCGTTTATTATTCCATATTCCCCAATCAATAATCAATTAACCTATTTCCTCAAGCAATTTTCGCACACGACCTTCAAATAGTTTGCTCCTCATGCCACATATTCTGGCATTTATAGCTCTGAATCCATTAGGTTATTACGCGAACCATGCTAACTGCCAGAGACACCAATTTACAAATTGTTGCATTACTTTTTCAACATTCACTTAACGCAATTGGACCAACAGCAACAACAACAATAACAACAGCAAAAAGTTACACCATGTACCGGAGCGAAGGTCAAGCGAAGCCTGAGGAGAACGTTCTACCTCAAAATTTGGCAGCTGTTGTGCTCTATGTGGCCCCACTACAGCTCGACTGGCATCTGTCATTAGCAGTCATGTGCAACAATATTTGCCGCAAACTAACTTTCCAACAACGACAACAACATCAACAACAACCAATTGTAGTTGTGCAAAAGTTTATAACATTTTATAAATTACATTTTCCATTAAATTGGACATGGAGAGCTGCATGAGATATGCATATGATTTAAATTGATTTAGTTACGAGTCAGTTGAGAGAGCGCAGAGCTTGTAAAATGCCCAAAAAATTCGAGTTTGCATTTGCGGCAATTAAATCAGAAAGTTTTTAAATCAAGAGGATGTTAAGGATGCTGAATGAGTGCTCGCAGTAGGAGGAGGCATGCAGGGAGGGCGGCAGGGGGCCACAGAAGGGCTGCTGAGGAGTTTAACTGACAGACAGTTGCGCGCTTTAACCGATTGAAATCAGCGAGAACGCTGCTTAAATCAATTTCTCAATCAATGTCAGCCAACAGGCGGGCAGGCGGGCTGGTGGGGAGGGGAGTGGAGGCTGAGGCCGAGGCCGGCTACTCTCGAGAGTTCCTGGAACTGCGCTTAAGCTGGAAATCGTGGCTTACACTCTGGCCCCAAAAACCCGCAGTGGAAGCGAACGGCAACAACAACCAAAAGTAAAAGGTTCAAATTGTGTCCAAAATGTCAAAAGCAGACGCTCAATATGATCGCCCTATACACTGCGATACGTGCACTGAGCGAAACAGAACTAGGTATTCAAAGGCAAGGTCAAAGAATGCAGGAGAAATGCAATTTGAGCCATAAAATTCTATTAGCTTGATTAAAGTATTTTGTATTATTTTTACTAAAATTAAATAGAACTTTAAAAATATTTGTTGGTCATTTTATGACTCAAGTTGAGTTCGTTAACTAAAATTATTTTTTTCTTTCTCTGTTGCTGTTTAGATTATTGAGGCTTAAAGATTATATTTAATCAATAAATTATATTTTTTTGTTCAACCAGGTGATAATTCTCTTTCCTATATATTTGCTTCAATTGAAAAACAATTATTTAGATATTTATTATTTGTTGAAATGCATTTTTGATTTATTTTAATGTATTAGTTTTTTACAATTTTTAAAGAATTTTCATGCTTTTTATTTTTAAATTTAATTAAATTTAACTTAACTCGAAAATTGTATTTAATGATTTCATGCTACTATTTATTAGTTTATATTTATTTAATATATATTATTTTATTGTTTGTTTTTTTTTTTTTTTTTGTTAATTTTGATTTTTTTTACCATATACTTACTTTGTAAATTTTTATTTTGTATCTTTTTTTTTCTCAGAAAATTGAATCAGATATGTATTAGTTTAAATTCTTGTTATTTTTCTTGTTCTTTACTTTTCTGAAGTTAATTCAATCTATATTTTTAAAATGCGTATTCTTAATTTTTCTTTTAATATTATGTTAAAATTGAATTATTCCATATTTATATATATTATTTAAAATAAATGTAATGTATCATAATTTTTCAAAATATTTCCAGCTCATATATCTTTAAATTTCTGTTTTATGACTTGTCTCACTCAATTAGAGTTTAATCAAATTTCGATTATTTCCATTAAATTGAGAATAGTCTCAGATTGCAATGCATTGGGTTGAATATGAATTCTGTCAGTGTAGCTGTGCACAACAGAAGCCCTGGAAATTTGATCGCATGCAGATAGCGCTGCCTGCCCTGACTAAGGCCTGCCAACCTGTCTGTCCGTCCGTCTGTCGGCCTGCCTGCCTGTTTGTCGGTTCTGTCTGAGCGCTGGGCATGCAACTGTTTTGTCTTTTTGGCGTGCGATAACTGAAGTCAATGACTGGAGCTCGGCGCGCAGCTTCCCGCTTGCAGCGCAGTGCATGAAAAGTGAACTTGAGCTGCAGTTGCATTGTTTCGGCCGCTTACGGGAGCCATCGACATCGACATGGCCATGGCCAATGCCAATGTAGTCGCTAATGCTGCGGCTGCTGCTGCGGCTGCTACTTCTGCTGTTGCTTTAAGTCGCATCCTGATCCTCATCAGCATCATCATCGCTGCATACAATCGTCGATAATCTCACGCTTGGCATCGCCAATATCACAGACGGCAGCAGCAGCAGCAGCAGCAGCAGCAACCTCCACAGCGTCTATAGCAGCTTCTCCTTCTTCAGAGTTCGTTTTAGTTTAGTTTAGTTTGCTGGGCAGTTCGTTAAATTACATGAATGTATAACCATTTTAATTTTGCCTGGGCTTTTGTCTGTCTGCCTCTGACTCTGAGTCTGTCTCTGTCTCTGTCTCTCGGTCTGTCGCACACTCGATGCCTTTTGAATGATGACCTTACAAATCACGTTTCGCAATGTGTTTGCGGCCAGATCATCAAGATGCCGGAGTGTTGATAGCACTGCCAGCAATGCCTGTGAGAAAACATTTCCGAATAGTTGGCTTTTACACTGATGGCGTAGGCGATGGAATCGAGGCAGTCGTCCTACATAGCCTAACATCTCAGTAGGCTCTATATACAATTTAAATTGAGTGAATAGCACATTGGGAGAAAACATAAAAATGGGCCAGGCGGACGAGAATCTAATTTGGAATATTAAGAACGGGGAAATCGATGCGGTGCAGCTGATGTTCGACCAATCAACGCGAAATGTTAACGAATTCATTGGCGGCCGCACTCCCTTGCACTATGCAGCCGACTTTGGCCAGCTGAAGGTGCTCAAGTACCTGGTGGAGATCGGGGCCGATGTTAATAAGCTGGATAAATATTGCATAACGCCCATTCTGGCTGCCATTTGGGAGGGGCACACCGACTGCGTTGCCTTTCTGCTCCAGCACGGCGCCAGTAAACAGGGCACCACGCCCAATGGAGAGAATTATGTGGAGGCAGCTGAGAAGGTTGAGATTAAAAGGCTGCTCATGGATCCAAATACTGGCTAATCAGGAGAGATCTGGCGAGATCAGAAGAAGATCTAGAGAAAGGATTTCTTAATACTAACTGATATAGAAAGAGAGAGAGAGAGAGAGAGAGAGAGAGAGAGAGAGAGAGAGAGAGAGAGAGAGAGTAAGAGAGAAAGAGATAGAGAAGAGAAGAGAAATGTTTTCCATGTTTTCGTTTCGGTTTTCCATTACCTTGGAATTTTTCTGCACTTAAATTGTTTGGTTTATTTCAACTTGAGTTAATATTTTTAAATGCTATTTTGCAGTATATATGAATTTATCAAAATTTTATTTATGTAATTATCATGAAGTGAATATTTATATGAATTTGGTCTACATTAGATAAATAAATAAAAAATTAATAAATGTCAAAAGAGATAAAAGATCTCTCTGATATTCGCAACGGATGCAATTTTCTATATATATATTAATTATATGGGATTTTTCTCCATCTCCCTCTAATAGCAATATTTGCCATAAAATACTGCTGCAGAGACACATATTTAATTTGGGTACTATTAGTTTTTTGTTGCCCTTGGCTCGTAACCTTTTCTGGCCATTAACACCCAATAGCCCATTTCATATGGCTGCTTCTGCTCGGCTGGCAGCAAATCATTTTGATTACACAGCCAAAATTGAGGGAATGACATATTTCGCATTTGGATGAGAAGGGGGCGGGCGACAGTTAGTTAATTTCAATTTTGAACACGATACGCCCCAGAGGAGAGGAGAGGAGAGGAGGATAACTCGTGTGACAAAAAACAATTAAATGG